AAGGAATGGCAATATCATTGAAAGTGAGAATTATAGAATCCAGCAGATGTTCCAAAGGTTCTATCAGTGGCTCCAATTTCCTCACCTCATAGCCAAGAGTGGTGATGCTGGGAAGGCATGTGACATTCCTGGGGTGCCAGAAGCAAGGCAAGACTCAGGGCCTCAGGGCCTGGGTTGAACACTGCCTCTCCTACTATTGTGCATTGTTGTGCTCCTGGGTCCTCAGTGTCCTCCTCTGTGAATAAGATAAGCAATGGCAGCCAATCAGCAATCCCCAAGATGCTCTGAGTGCCCCCTGGCTGCTGGGAGTTTCCTTTCACCCTTTAGGACCCAGTGTCCACACTCTGCACCCATTTCTGCCCTGGAAGGCCATTCTATCCATGATCCTGGATGCTCTGACTGGATTGGGCTTGGCTGTAGGGTCCGTGGAGGAGGTAGGGAGGAAGGGTGTGGAGAGTGAGGGACTGCAGATTTGTTCCCAGCTCCCTTTCTGCCATTCACCTTGGGCTGGCTGAGTCTCTTAACAGAGGTCACTGCTCTTCTCAGCACAGGCTTCTCCTCATCGTCATTGATACTTCCAGGTTCCAGTAATCACTCCTTGCTTTCTTCAGCTTGCATTTGAAGTGACAGCAACTGGGTTGCTCTTGGACCTGCACAATGGCAGGATCTCGAATGGTCGCCCTGGATTCATCTACTTGGAAAGGGCCCCTTTTGTGAGTAAAATCTTGTCAAACTATTCTAAGTTGAGTGTTCCTCCTGATTGCTGAGCGACCCTCTGAAGAAATATTTGATTGGGCTCCAGTTTCCAGGAGGCTCAGTCCACAGTCTGCTAGGTGCAAGGCAGGGTTGCCATGGCAGAAGGGCCCAGTGCGGCAAAGATGCTTAGTTCATGGGAGCTGGGAAGCAGAGCAGGGGACAGCACTATGATGGAAAGGGCCAGGTAGGACACACAGTACTCAGGGTCAGGACTTGATGCTCACCCAGCTGTGCACTTCAGTCATCCCCAAGCCAGTCATGAAGACAGCTAGGCTTAGCTGTGGCAGCCCTGACTGACTCTCTGGGTAGAGAAGAATACGGTACAGAGGAGGCTCCTGGCCCTGGACCCAGCCACCATCCAGGTCCCCTATGGGGAGCGGCAGAGCTGTCTTGTGGTAATGGTGCTGGCATCTTCCACAGAGAAACGGCCAGCCACAAAGCTGGTGGGAAACCTCCCATCCCACTGTCTCTTCTGTCTCTTGTATTGCTCTTCATCTGCCCACAGTCCCAAAGGGAAATAAATGGCTGGCCTCTAATATCTTCCCCTTTTCCCTTTTTGCTTACAGAGTGTAGCAGCAGCAAGGAGGTTTTGCCCTGTATATGGTGCTTGGTGTGCTGTTGATACCCATCTTAGAGAGCTAAAACTTGTAAGTAAAGAAGGTGCTCAAAAATGGCGTCAAGGAATATTATGTTTAAGCCAGTGTCAGCTTATAGTATAGCAAAGACAAAAGCTGAGAAAGCAAGAAATGTAGAGGTGATGCAGGAGTCCTTGGTGCTGGACTCACCTCTGTCTGTGACTTGGAGTGTGACATGTGAGGGACTGCTCAGTGTCTGCATCAATCTAGGCTCGGGGAAAATGCTACTGAAAAATTAAACCATCAGACAGTGATACCTCAGTACAGTGATAGTGTTGTACACCAATGACCTTTACTTTTTGCTCTTCATTTTGGTGGAAAGAGTCACTAGTGGTTGTGACAGGAGTTATAACTCTTTGCAATACTTTATTTATTTATTTTTGCGGTACTGGGGATTGAACTCATGACCTTGCGCTTGCCAGGCAGGCGCTTATGCCACTGAGCTACATCCCCAGCCCTTTGCAATACTTTAAATCAATATGCACCAAATACATTCCTGATGCTTTGATGATCTTCAGTGAATACACTCTTAATGACATTTTTACTGCACATATTTATAAAGCAATTATAAAAGGTAATGGAACCTCATTTCAAAAATCTTTAATAAGTTTTTGACCTGTTGTATTTGATGGAGCAGGACTGTGTGGGTTTTCTGTTGTTTGTTCATTTCAGGGTGTTGTTCTGACTATTGCTTGCAGGGAAGAATCTGGTACACCCCTTCAAATAAGAGGAAGAAGTAATCACTACTTGGGGTTCATAAGAAGCAGATATGCTTCATGATCTGGCTTGGATTCATGTCCATAAAGACACCTATGTTGAAGATTTGCTTCCCTGGGTGGTGGTAATGGAGGTGGAAGAACCTGAGGAGATGGTGCCCCATGAGAATTCCTTAGGCCTTTAAGGGTATCCCCTCACAGTGGATGATGGATCTCTGTCTATTTTTGTCTCTCTCCTTGTGTTACCACAATAACAGGAGGCCCTTACCAGAGGCCAAAAGGCATGGAGTCATTTGATCTTTCATTGGAGCTTCCAGAGTTATGGGTCTAAATAAACCTTTTTTATGAGCTAGTAGCTTCTAGTATTTCATTACAGTAAAAGGAAGCTGATTAATACTCCTTGATGGCATCATTTTCTGACCATGTTAGACAGTTGTCATGGGGATGTTACAAGTTTGCTGTGTCTGGATCTCAATAGAGCATTTAGACTGGCTTGTCTTGATGTTGTGGTGTCTGAGATGAGCACTGGAACCAGAAACAAGGCTCTACTGGCACTACTCATGTTTCATTTGTTTCTCTTAATCTTTTTTTCTCTTTGGAAGTCTATAATTTCCTAAAGGCAGTGAGGCCAGTGTCATCCTATTGGACGTCTGGATCTTTGGACCTCTCTCTTAGTTTTTAGTTTTCTATTGAAAATAATGATATATTCACAAGAACTTTTAAAGCTATGTTCAGGAAAATTCTGTGTATCTGCCTCCTCCAACAGTGTAGTATCACAGTGCATTCTCAGAAGTACAATTACACTGATTTCCTCCAAGTAATATAATCAGATTTTACCACATTTTATAGTTCTTTTGGCTGTTTTAGGCTTGTTGAAATTCCACATGAATGTTATAATCAATCTATCAATTTCCATCACAAAAGTCTTCTGGGATTGTGCTTGAGATTGGGTTGAATATGCAGATGAATCTGGGAAGAACTGGAATCTTGCAATAGTGCATCTTCTAACTCATTAAATGAGGTATGTGCTATGACTTCCATCCAGAGTGTCCCCCCCCCCAAGTCTCACGTATTCAAAAGAGGGGTTCTGGGAAGATGATTGGATCACTGGGCGCTATGCTCACCAGGAGATGAAGGCACTGTTGAGTTTATAGCTGCATACATGTGATTGCAGTGCAAGAACTACTTGGAAAAGGTGGGTCCCTGGAGGCATGCCTTGGAGGGTTCACCTCACTTCCCAGCTCCTTGCTTCTCTCTGCTTCCTGGTTGCTGCTTTCCTCCAAGGCGGGCCCTTCCACCATGCCATTTCTGCCTTGGAGCCAGGCAAGCATGGACTGAAAACGTGAACTCAAATGAATCTCTCCTCCTCTAACTGGAGGGTGTCGGGGATCTTGTTCCAGTGATGAGAATGTGTCTGGGATGGTATATATCTCCTCTTATTTCTTTATGGCTTTAATTTATCTCTGCAATATTTTGTAGATTTCAGTGGACAAGTATTTTGGTTAATTTAAATAGCAGTGCTTAAATTTCAATGAGAAGCTGTTCACTGCTAATGTATAAACACGCAATGGTTTTTGTGTGTATTCACCTTGTATCATGCAGTCTAACTAAACTCAGTTATTAGTTGTAGAAGTTGTTTTTTCTCATTCACTTTTCTACATGGAGTTTCACATAGTCTTGGAAGGAAGGCTCTTGTCTTTTTCCCTTTCCAGCCTGAATGCTGTTTTCTTTTGCACCAGACAGATCCTGCAGTGTAAAGGTGAACAGTGTCTGTCCTGGGTGCCCACACCGGTCTTGGGTTGTAGCTTTGTGTGTGTGAGCACCCAGAACAACTCTTAGCACAGGAACACCTGCTTCCTCACCTTCCACACAGACAGGTAAAATCCACGCACTGACAACACATTGCAATCTTCAACATCATACCCTGCATGCAATCAAGAGCAGGAGACCCAGTACAAGAAGATTTTTCCTTTTTGAACAGTTTCTTCCCATTTCATAATATCTATGGGGAAAGGAGAAAAGAAAGAAGGAAAAGAAGAAAAAATATGTATATATATACAAGATAGTTAAGATAGTTTTACAACTAATTTCTCTTATTTCACTGAAAAGAAAGGTTTATGGTAGATTGTTTGGACAATTTTTAATGCCTATATCTTGTACTCTGAGTAATTACTTTGAAGATAAGAATATGCAGTGTATTAACTCTTGTTACTATCCTATTATCCTGTTTTGAAATTTTGTTTTATTTTTTCTCTGTCAAATAAAAAGAAAGTTTATCCACTGAAGTATTTTACTCATAATTCTTAATAGACATTTATGTTTTATTAGCACATATTTGAAATCATTAATGTTTGCATTCCTTGTGGGGAGTGGGTACTTGTATCTGGAGTCTTGACAGAAGGGGGGATGTGATTTCAGATCATAAACAGGAAACTGAGGAATTCTGCTTGGCCCCTGGAGCAAAGCAGGTGAGGTGAAAAAGTTGCCTGGCTTTAGCCAAGAAGTAGGTGGGTTGGAAGGTGCATATGACAGAATTGTAGGAGGAAAAGGCCAAGGTTCCCATGTTCAGTAACGGCCTGGAGGGACTTTAGATGCCATGAAATAGTAGGAAATGTGGAGGGCTAATGAACCCTGAAATGCGGCGGCCATGGCGCGGTGACATGTGCCTGAGAGTTGAACACCGGAAGCTGAGAAAGGGCAGCAGATCAGTTTGGAGCACGAGTTAGTGTCCTGGCCTCCCTGCACCCCTCCCCCCTCCTCCCTTCCTCAGGGAAGGGGTTTGTGATGTCCCAGCCTCCGCAGGGCTCCTACTGGCTGGCAGAGGCTGAGTCACTGAACAAAGGTAGGGTGTGGCTCTCAAATTTACAGCAGGGCTCAGAAGAGGAAGCAGGAAGCTGGGCTGAAGGAGGTCGGGAGGTTTAGCCATGCCTGAGGAAATCCGAAAGATACGGGGCAAGTGGGTAATCACTTGGGTAAACTCCCGGAAGCCCTTGTCCAGGCTGGACGAGCCAGTGAACAGCTCTGAAATGAAGATGGAGGAAGAGAGCTCAGATGAGGAGGAGCAAAAGGAAGCAGAGAACGTGAGAGGACCCTAACTGTGTCCTGCCCTTGGCCTATCCTGGGTCCTTGCCCCTGGCCCCTGGCCCCTGGCCCCTGGCCCTGGCCCCTGGCCTCTGGCTCCTCATCCTCCTGCTCTCCTGGATCCAGGGCTTCATCCTCTCCAGCCCCCTCCCTCAGGGCAGGGCAGAGCAGGGCAGGGCAGGGCAGGGCAGCGCAGTCCCCTCCAGGCCGGAGACTAACCACCTTTCCTTCTCCTCTTCTTCCAGAGGCAGAAGGTCATTGACGAAGTGCTATCAGCGCTGGAGCAGCGTTCCAAAAGACATAGGGGGCAGAATCCCAGCGGACACCTGGAGCAGAGTGCCCACAGATGCCGCAAGCGCCCGGTGGTGGTGCTCCCCTATAGAGGGAAGAAGAGGAGGGAAGAAGAGCACCAGCCTGAGGAGAAGCCTGTGTTTCAGGGTCCACCCCCTGAGTGGACAGCGGAGGAGGCCAAGCCCACAGGAGCCCTGACCGGAGGGACTCCAGGGGCTATGCAGAAGATACTCCAAGGAGCAGTCAGCACAACAGTCATGGGAGCAGTCAAGGGAGCAGTCCGGGCAGCAGTCCGGGGAGCTGTCCGGGGAGCTGTCCGGGGAGCTGTCAGGGGAGTGGCCAGGGGAGTGGCCAGGTGGACATCAAGGAGATCAAATCTGGACAATAAAGCTCCAGGGAGATGCTAAAGGAGGACTCCGTGTGCATTTCTACCTGTTCCATGGGGGAAAGAGAAAGAAGGGGGGAGGGGAAGGGAGGAGAGGGAGGGAAGTGAGGAAGGGGTAGGGA